CACAGTCCAATATCAACCCCATTTGTTTAGGCTTGTTTTCTGTTGAATGCTGGCTCTTGTGGCCTTCTTGGGCCATCTCTGAACATGCTTATGTCTGTGTTTCTGACCTAGCTGGTAGTTCATGTTGATCTTCTATGTCAAGCCTACTGTCATGATAATAATCTCCAGCGGTGCTGGTATTAACTGAGCCTGCTGAGGTAGGCCTATGTATTGGATCTGTACGCTGCTGATCGTGCTGGAAGCCAACCTCAAATAACGTCCGACAATCCCTGATCACTTCCTTCTCTCTTTCTTGTCGAACCTCCCGTTCACGCCTCTTTTGTGCGCCGGATTTGTGCTGGTAAGATGACATGGCGGAAATTCTGGAAGGAATGAAAAACATTTTAACATCCAAGACCAAAAACCTACCTAATATTTCAGTGGTATTTTAATTTAATTTAAATTAAAACTTTAATATTGATACAACCAATAAGATATTGATAAGTGATAAAATAATATACTGCATTATTTAACAAAAAACAAATCATTACTTTGGTATGAAGTTTAACCTTGAGGCTTAGCCTAGTATGGATGTTACACTAGGCCTAAGTGGCTAAGCCTAAGGTAGTAGACTGATCGGAAAAGTTAAAACTTTGGTTTTTAACTCTTTAGGACATTTGTAACATTAAAAAAAGGTACATTGCTATTAAGGAAATATATGTAATTAAGAACAATCGACGACAAAACAATTACTTACATTTATTTGCATTGAACACTTAACAACATAGAAGTATGTGGCGATCGAGCCCTGGCGTCCTGGATGCAGAAGTGCACGATGTTTAGCAGGAAGGAGGTCGCCAGTTCTAAATTTAGCAGTTGGCGGAAGTTATGCTGGAATTTTGGACAGTGCCCTGGAAATCGCACACAGAGCACAAATCTCTCTTTAGTGCAAAATTTTTGTCTTTGACTTTAACTCGAAAATCTTTGTCAGTTGATACTGTCAGCTACGTTAAAGAACGACTTTTTGTCTTTTACACAAGGAGGATACATTGACCATCGACTTAATCAGCCCAGACAATGGCAAGCCCCTTACAGAGCCCGCAGCTAAACCATAATGCAGACATATTCAGTCCCGTTAGAAGTCACATCCCAGATATGAATGTCAGTAATAGGAGTGATCCAGCGCGAAGGAAGCCACAAGAATTCGATGGGAAGGCACCGTGAGAAGCATATAGAGCACAATTTGAGCTACCGGTAGAGATGAATGGATGGACA